AGGATCTCACAAGATTTATTTGGCCTACTCTTATAAGTAAAGTGAATACCATTATGACTACAAAAACCTCTTCAGATTTTAAAAGTTTGCAGTACAGTTCGACTTCCATGACCAAAATCTGTCACACATTCTCTAAACGTTACGTTTTCCCTATGTAGGTAACCTTTTCCGACAACTCGCTTTTTAAGCTTTGCCCCACCGACCGATACCCCGCAACTCTTCTCTCCATCCTCCCTTTGCATGCAACTCCTTCCGGTAGTGCTCGAAAGAAGCTCATTTTAAGTTTTGATCCCACCAACCGATACATCGAGTCTATACTCACTATTTTCTCGTTCTAAGTAACCTCTTCCAACTGTTTGCAGATTTTGACAGACGTCCAGACTACCAATCGGAACTTCGCCCTCTTGAACTTAACGGTGAGCATTTCCTCTATGTCTTTTTTCTTTTTTTTTTACTGCACCTGCTTTTTTGTTCACTGTTTTTTTTTCAATAAACGGATATTATTATTATTATTATTATTATTATTATTAAATCTCCCAAAGAATCTTTCTCAATCTTCATCAAAAATATTGTCGATACAATTTTTATTAATTCATGAGAGCCTACAGATATTTTTCATGGATGCTTCAGAGATCCTCTAGAGATAATCATCTCCCTCCTCCCCCAAGTTCCTCTAAAATTTTTGAGATTTTTAGAACCTATTATTGCGGGTTGTATAGAGAATTGCATACAATCATCGAAGGATAAATTTCTAGCTAACCTCTAAGAATGTTTGTCCTAAGGATCTCGATCGAATCTTTAAAAAGTGTATGTTGGGTCACCTGGAGAACGAATCTCTGAAAAACCGCAAGGCAAGTTCTGAGAATCCCCTAAAGACTAAGTTACAGAATTTTCTGTGTATAGTGTAATTTTACTAGGTAGGTATATTTTTTGCAGTTTTTTTTAAGAAAAATCCCCTGAGAGGGGCCTAAAAATAATTTCCCGAAATAAGTTTGTAGGGATCTGCGACGAATCTCTAAAGAAAACTCTGAGCAAACCCTAAAGTACATCTTTAACAGTCTTACAAGTGAGAAAATCCATGAAGGATAAATGTAAGAATGTCTAAAGATTTTTGATTCAATATCTAGAAATTAGATTTTAAAAATCCGGAATTCTTTCATGAGATCTTTATGCCATCTTGAATGAACATCTTTTTGAAGAATCTCTCAAGGACCTTGTTAGAATCGTTAAAGTGTTAAAGTTAATACATTTCACTTCAGTTTTCTTTTTGTTGTCATCTCACTTAATCAAATTTTATAGGGAGATGCGGCTAGGTTTGCGGTGAAGTTGGTCTCGTGGATTTAATACTTGGCTATGACCAAGAGGTTTTATGTGGAAATTTGGGGCCTGGCACTTAATAAAAACAATAGATTTCCAAATAGCAGGATTGATTCATAAAATCATAACAGATTTTCTAGATACGAGTATTTTTGAGAGCTTGCACATGGTTTTTGAGAAAGCCTTAAAATCTTTGAGATAATTTCTGGAAGATTTTTTTGAAATTTTGGAGAAACGTTTACCAAAGTTGTGAGTACATTGAAATCCATCTTCAGACCTGTTTCTTTTAAAAGGAATGGTCTTATGGTTTAAAAACTCGGACAAAGACCAAGAGCATCGCAGATTCAGGATCCAGATTCGGGAATGAACAGCAGCTTCGGCCTTGGCATGTTACAACTTTCCCTGAAAGGCATACCAAAATTTGTAAACATCTTTCAAAAATTGTAGGATGACTTGTAACGATTTCAAGAGAATAGCTCGTTTTCTAGTTATATTATTTTGAGTTTCGAGTTATGATCTTACTGACGGATACATCTCATCACTACCCTACTCTTGCCCTTTGTAAGTGTCCTGTACCAACACCACATTTTCGAGATATCCTAATTCGAACATTTACCCCATGGACGAATATACCGCGTCGATACATTTTCATTTTGTAAGTACTCTCTTCCGGCTCCTCGTTTTCGAGAGTTGCATTTCGACTGCGTACACATTTTTCATCTCGTTTTTCACCATCCTCCATTCATACTTTTTTACTTTGTATAACTAGAAAGCATATGCTACAATAAGCAAAAATAAATTGATACGTGGTCCAGGATCAAAGCTTTATCGTGCACAGACAGACGAAGGGAAGTCGAGGACATAACAGACAGTGAAAAATCGAGTTTGGTCCACAAGCTTCTAACTTGTCTTTTTTTTAAGAAAAGAGGTGGAATTAAATTTGTAAGGGAAGTGCCTAATTAAGTGCTGATGTTTTTCTTTAAATGTTTTGAACATTGCGAAGTGTTTCAAAATTATTGAATTTTCTGTGATTTATTCTTTTAAAAGAAAAAGGAATGGTGGGATTAAATTTGTAAGGAAAGGATCCAATCGGTGATGTTTTTCATTGAATTTTGTAATGGGAACCCGTTAAGGTATTTCTTTGTTTCATATTTTAGCGCGGGAAATCGTGTCGTAGGAGGCAAGATTTTGACTTCTATTTTGCCGATTATGAACTTTTTGTCGAATTTTTGGACGAATTTCTTACATTTTGTGGTTGTGTGACGTGGACGAGTGGTCCTTAAATACGGTTTTAACTTGATAAATGCGTCTGAAACCTTAAGTCGTGAGATACGGCATGATTGTCTCGGGTTACAAGAAATTTGGTTTATGCAGTAGGCGTAGCGTTCGGAGTTGCTGAGTCGTGTGGTATTTGATGACTAAGCGGGAATTACGTCAACTGAGTCTGACCAGGTCAGTGAGATATTTGGGAATCACCATAGGCTCTCGCCTGACCAGGAAAGAGCACATTGAACGAATAAGCAAAAAGGCCACTGCATGTCTATGGGCGTGTAGAAGGGCTTTTGGCTGTACATGGGGCTTGTCTCCTCGATTGGTGTGTTGACTTTACACTGTAGCGATTACGGCAATAATACTATACTGTGCATTTATATGGTGGCCTGCCGCAACCTACAGGAAGGAGCCGGACAAGGTATAGAGACTCGCCTATCTAGGAGTCACTGGGGCCATGAAAACCACGCCAATGGAGGCACTTCTGGGACTAGAGCCTTTACACTTAGTTTTGGAGGTCGAGGTTCGGAAAGCTTTCATACGACTAGTGATCGAAACGAGAGAAAGGATCGAGGTAGCCTTGGGCACGGGAGGAAACAGAGGCCAGTTCACAGAACAAAGTTCGTTAAAAATTACGCCAAGGGATATCGTGTGGTTAACTGAATGTAGTCCAAAAAACTCGTAACCGTACTAAATCCAATCAATAAAAAAACATTGTTGGCAATTATAAACAAGAGTGTTGGCAAGCCAATTCCTTGGGAAACTTTACCTCCTATATTTGCAGCTTACTAAAGGGAAAAGGGGGTGAAATTAATTCATTCGGCGCCCGGAATTGCGACAAAGAAAACTGTCTGCAAAATAAAGTAAAATAAAATTAATTCTTAGTGCCGCTAATAGAAAGGGCAATTTAGTGCAACCGCTTACCTAAGAGGTTTCTGCAAATGTAAATTAAACCGTGATAAAATCAAATTAATGGTAGTGCGTAAGTAAAACGCCTTTTTTGGACCCAGTTTCATTGACCAGCAAATAAATCAACATTGGGACCAGGCCTGTATTGTCCACTCCATTTTCAATATCCACCCAGAGAATTGTCACAAAATTTCCACTCAAAACCATATATTATATACTCAAAACGCCCACTGATATGCGAGCAGTCTAGCAATATTGCTATGCTGTAGGTAATATTACTAATTTGGGATTTTTAAAATAATGCCTTTAAGTCCCTGAACACACCTCAAATTTTCGATCAAAAAGCATACTAATCTCATTTGATTCTCATCGCTTCGATCTGAAATGCATTTCATTTCACCGTATCCGAGACCGTATCATTATGAAGGTATTAAAGTAAATATTGTGGTTCTTTGGACAAATAAAAATCAATTGTCGTTTAACTTTGAATTTCGATTTATCGGTTATTTTGTTATTGATTTACGTGTAAATCCTTTACTACCTAAACCAAACCTTACTTTTTCGGATAGAATATTCAAAAACTTTCTACTCATTCCTAAAAAAAAATGTATTTGCATGCTTTAAATTTAGGTGATATTCTACTCTTTCGTAACCTATCGCCGCTCTTAAACAAAAAACTGAACCAATACAATCCACTTAGTACCCAACGGCCGGAACCTCTTCATCATAAACAATAAACATCCTCTCCTCTGCGTGAAAAACATTGAGAAAATCATTATCACCCATACGTTCATTTAAAAACCCAATGGCCTATATACTAACTCACGATACCTATACATACTAATCGTGCGTTCTGAAATTCTCAATATCAATTCGGGCTATTTTGATTAAGAATCTCATCAGGTGCCGCAAAACAAAAACCACAAATGAGACGCTGTATGTAATTATGTAGTGGTCCAGTCGTACAAAAAAGTGCGTGTTAATATAATCAAACAAAGAATTAGGTAATCGTAGCAAAAAAATATGCCACATGCGTTTATGTAATATTTAATTGTATTGGCAGCGTAAAGGAAACAGGTAACGAGAGTAACTAGTGCTTCCTTATTGTAATTAACTCTCAATGTAACGATCTGTTTGTGTTCCGACACAATTAGTACTAGTTAAAGACTTACGATTTAGAGCGCGTATTACATATGTGCGTTCAATGACACATTCAACGAACTAAATCAGATTATGTAAAAATATTGAACAGTTTAAAAAAATTTGCAGTAAAATATGAAGGTTGTTAAAGCAACTGGTACCAGATGATAAGCACGGTGTTACAATTAATAATCGGAAATGTGGCCATGCACCAAATCATTGCATAAGGTTAGAAGACGTTCGGATGTGGAAGTGAAACCCCCTTATGGATCGCCCTGCATATGAGAAAGTGGAATCGGTTCATATAAAAGCTTACGGAGCTTGATTCAGCTCATAGCCTTCTGCTTCTTCGTCTGTCTCGCACAATGAGGGCTTTGGTAAGTTATTAATTAGTTTAATTACTCCATCTAATTATTACGTGTAGCTAGTCGTTGGTGCCGCGTACCTGTGCTGTGCTCTAGCTGCGGAGCCCGCCAAGAAGGAGGCCGTGGAAGCGACGCAGGAGATCAAAAAGCAGGATAAACGCGGCGTGCTGTTGGGTGATGGTGGTCATGATTTCGGTGGATTTGGAGGTGGTGGTTTCGGTGGCCACGAGGAATATGGCGGTGGTGATTTAGGCGGCCATCAAGAACACCACGAGCACGTTAAAACCGTGGTGGTTGAGAAAAAAGTACCGGTGCCTTATACTGTGCACAAACACGTTCCGTATACAGTTGAGAAAAAGGTACCTTACGAAGTTAAAGTTCCGGTTCCACAACCTTACACTGTAGAAAAGAAGATACCGGTGCCAGTGAAAGAAATCGTTAAAGTACCTTACTTGGTACCCCAACCGTATGAGGTTATCAAGAAAATCCCTTACGAAGTTAAGGTACCCGTGCCTCGTCCTTACGAAGTAAAAGTGAATGTTCCTCAACCCTACACCGTTGAAAAGAAGATTCCGTACCCAGTCAAAGTACCTGTGCCAGAACCTTACATCGTCGAAAAGAAAATACCAGTGCCGTACAAAGTCGAAATTCCAGTGCCTCAACCCTACACTGTTGAAAAGAAGGTGCCTTATGAAGTCAAAGTGCCAGTTGACAGGCCTTACGCAGTTCACGTACCTAAACCGTACACTGTCACCGTCGAAAAGCACATCCCGGTACCGGTCGATAAACCAATACCTTATGAAGTTAAAGTTCCCGTCGATAAGCCTTACCCAGTTGAAGTTCCCAGACCAGTTCCGTACCACGTAAAAGTGCCAGTACCTCAGCCATACACAGTCGAAAAGAAGTATCCCGTTGAAGTTGAGAAACCAGTACCGTATCCCGTCAAAGTACCAGTCGACAAACCCTACCCTGTGTACAAAGAAATACCAGTACCTGTAGAAAAACCAGTTCCAGTTCCAGTTAAGATCCCAGTTCACTATCCAGTTCATGTACATTCTCATCACGAACATGCAGATTTTGGGGGTGAATTTGAGGGATCTCATGATCACCATTATTAACAAAATTGATTGATTGTTGCGAAACATCTTACATCTTTGTCTGAACTTTTTGTTATTTACGCTACGGATTGAACGAAATCAAGGACCGTTGCGGGGTTGATTTGCTCAATTTAGAAGAATAAGTTCTAATAGCGTACAGTATTATTCTCGTATTCTATCTGTGTTAATTGTTTACTACTTTAATTTTAATAAAGTATTCTTACAAACGTTACCAATAATTAACCCAATTTCTTTAAGTCTCGGATGGATGCGGAAAGAAAGTCATGTGTGATTCAATTCAATTCACGATTATCTAAACTTTTAAAGTGGAAAGTTATTTTCGGTGAATGCACTTGAACTGATTCTTTCATATGTTCATCGGCGGATTATTTCCTTCCGGAGACTACGGCAATTTCTCAAGTGAAAGTGTGACCAATTTAAACAATAGTAAAATCGCCGGGTTGTATTGGGAATGGACAATAGCCGTAAAAAATTACACATCAATTATACTAACAACCAAAAACTTTTAATTAATTACATATTTTGGTCGACGCACGCAATGAAAGCGATCTCTTAACACAGGTATTACTTTAAAGACAAAAATTCGAACATGTAAAATTTCTAACTACCGACATTCACTCAAATTTCACTTGCACGCGCAATTATATTTACATATCAAACAACTGCTACACTTGAGAAATCTGCAAAAATTATACAACACGCTACAATTTCTATTTATTAAATCGCAATTGGTTCAAATCTTTCATTTCAAATTGGTTATTATGTAAGTTAGAAGTGCATATTACGAACGTTGGCTCTAAAAGTAAATTATAGGGTTACATAGAGAACATTAATTAATAGAAACTGTGATCAGATTGTGCAAACGACCATATTTTCACAAAGAAGTAAAACTTTTGGGTACCTTTTTCGAGTACTGAATGTGAACTGAAAACAGAAATTTTTTGTGATGTGCCAGACATATTATGGAAAAATCTCATGTAAATTGTAAAGCCACACCGATAACCTACTTTCCAATAATACTTATTCAACTCTTTTCCTGTTTTCTTCTGGAGTTTTTTTTCAGTGATCAAGGCTTCGACTGCTTTTGGTCTTTCGCCTCATCTACCTTCTATTAACTTAAATCTTATGGAATATATATCAATACTCTTTAAAAATGAAATCAGTCGTTGAATACTGTTCTGATCGTCATGAAGGACTTCTATAAATTGGCTTTGGTTTTGTAGTTTCCTGTGTATCTGTACCTACACTACTTTTCCTGTTTTCTTCTGGAGTTTTTTTTCAGTGATCAAGGCTTCGACTGCTTTTGGTCTTTCGCCTCATCTACCTTCTATTAACTTAAATCTTATGGAATATATATCAATACTCTTTAAAAATGAAATCAGTCGTTGAATACTGTTCTGATCGTCATGAAGGACTTCTATAAATTGGCTTTGGTTTTGTAGTTTCCTGTGTATCTGTACCTACACTACTATCGGAGTAAAATGTAGTCCGCTGGCTTTAAACGGTTATAAAAAAAAACTACCTAACCGATTTTTATCAAATAAAGCGTAATATAATCGTCAACTATTTCTACGTATCCGTACGTAATGTCATATTTCTTGTTAAATTTGGGAAAATGTGATGTACGGGAAAGCGCGCTTTTTCAATGAAAGTATACGAACTCAGAACTTTAGGATTTAATTACAAAAAAAGTATTCACTCAAATGGGATAATGTTTACGTATGTGATAGAATACACCTTTAACTATACGTCGATACATTTTTATGCATTTCTCTATAATTACGCAAACGTTACAGCGATAAAATGACAGGCGCGTTTATTCGCTTATTATAAGTTACACTTTAAANAAAAAATGTTAAGGGCTGCAGGAATTAATATATTTTGAGAGAAAGAGATAAACGCAACACCTCGAGCGGTGTTGAGGGGAAGGTCATTTAATCGCAAAGTTGTACCTTGCAGCAATGTTTCGTATAAAGCGGCACACACGCTAAGTACACGGTTAAGTAATATATGCATGAAATTGTTATTATGTTTGCCGCACATCACACATGAAAACCGCGGGTTATTATTCATCTTGTTTCGTACGTAGAGTATTGGCTAATTTACACAAAAACAAACATCCACAAGTTGTTTTCAGACAATATTTACGCATTTATGACGTTTGCTATTTTATTCATCTTATAAAAAAAGAATGAAGTCGTTTCCTTCAATAATAGCTGCGTTGCAATGTTTTTGCTTTTCCGCTAATTACGCAAAAAGGGAACAAGATATTTCCATAATTTTTTCTACAATAGCTACAGCAAGAATTGGGTTATGCAATACCCGAAATGTATGAATTTTCGTGGAAAAATAAACTATTTATGGACCTGTTGACCATCGCGACAAATCACGCATTTTAGAGTACTTTTTTGTGAGGAAAATTCGATAACGTAAAAAGTCCTGGCAGCCAAAATTTACAATTTACGTATGTTAACAACAACTTACCAATTGATACCTTCCAAAAATTTCATTAATATCGGCTCCAGCGATTTTGAGATTTGAGCCTTCAAAGTGAGCGGACTCTACATTTTACTCCGATTTAGTAGTACAAACTTGTATTCAAATGATAACTCGCGAAAAAAGAAAATCCGAAAATGTTCACATTTTATTGACAAAAAACTAATCTCCTCTTTTTTTACATTCTTGATTTCATTACCTAGGTAATCGATACACTAGACATCTTTCTTAATTCTTCCACCAAAATTACTAAAGATAATTTGAACACCGTTACAAAATTAGGAAACCTAGTTCTCCTAATTTAACCTAACTGGATTTCTAATAATTCGCCCAGCTTTTGACAAAACCTGCATCTTCGGTATTCCACTTTAAATTAAAATATTATACCATTGACATCCTCTATGTTTCTACAGGTACCTAGTTTATGAAGTTGAAGTGAGTGGAGTGGAGATAAAGATACAGGCTGCGCAACGACTTATGAATGATCTTCGTCGTCGAAAAAAATATCCTGGAATGTTAATTGATAAGAAGCGTAAGACAATTATTGAACGTTGATAGTTGGGTTCCATAATGAAAAGCAGTTAGTATGGTCTATTGGCCGAATATGATAGGAATAACACGTTGTAGAGTTGCCAAAATAACGTTTGTATCCAATAGAGGTATCAAGTGAAGAGGTAGGAGAATTGGATACGAAAAATATACTTTTTTTAATTCTTAAAAAAATGTGCTAAAACTCATAAGAGTGCTTTAAAGCTTCTGGAGCATACCAGAGTTGTAGCCACGACAGGGGATGAATGTGGCTGATGCAGGTGCATGACTTTTTATCGACTTTTGGCCCACTGACATTGTTTATTACCATCATTGACTAATAACGGCGCTAGTGGTTGTTAGGATAGGACAGTGTCTTGAGCGACCTTTTTCTGCAACTAGATTTTAAATCTTGTTATGACGATTTCGCCCCATCCCCTTAAACTTTTAAAATTCCCATCACTGTCACGATACAGAGGGCCATCGAATCCCCCCACGCCCCAGGGTGTTACATGAGTGTTGAAACCATCAACTCTACCATTTTCATGTAGGGGCCATCGAAACTATATTCTGGTGAATGGGTGAATTCCATACTCTCCGCTGCTACGTCAGCTGCCGAAACCTTTAGAGACCTGGCACCTCTCATTATACTCCAGGTATACTACGGATTCTTTCCAACCTTGCCTTGGGGCATTTCATACCTCTAAGGGTTACGTTCTCTTCCTGAAAGGGCGTTGCTTCTTTTCAAGCGAAGACCATACAACTTTTTCTTTCCTGGGGGTATTACATATACCGTCCGAGACCCTCAGGTGGCACGTTTTATCGCGAAACCCTTAGAGCATGATCTCTCGCATAATAATTTTTGAATAAGGAGCGCCGAATAGTCCTTTCCCTGCCCCCAGCCTTAGACCCCGACGCCATGTTATCTTATCTAATTCATGATCTTTGAAAATACTGAAAATACCCATGAATGTGACTTTCTTGGAGGTACTCTGGAACCACCCAACCTCCAGATACAACGGATCCCCCCTACAATATTTGAACAAGATATTCTACACCCTCCAGACCCCGCGATGGGTTTTTGACAAAACATCGTAAGAGACAAACAGCAAATTTTACAGTAGCTAATTTTTTTACGACCTTGTTCATTGAAGAAAGTTGGCTAAATTATGTATTGAGATGCTATTTGTAATTGCGCAGCTTTCTATGAATCGAAGTTCACGAAAAAAATTATTTTTCATCAAAATTTTCCACTTCAGACGTTGTGTCAGAATATTCATTTGGAATTCTGTCGAGTACGGTAAAGAGGAAGGGGTTTAAAGAAATTCTTTTTACACACGTTTTGTATTTGTCTTATCGATTTCGACCTAACTGGTCATCTTCAGGCCGAGCGTCATTGATGAAGTGAAATGAATACAAAATTTTTAACGATGTTATGTAGTAGTGGTCAGGAATGAAAAATTAATGTACGAAAGAGTGAGGTTCGGTATTAGTACGATAAAGTATAGGCACAAGGTATGACGGAGAATAATATAGGTAATTTGGGTTGCTGTAAAAACAAATGGTTTTATTATTTTGTAAATATAGTTATTTACATAAATGACACATTACTGGCGAGGAAATATTGAAGTACGAGGTCCATTTGGGACCGAGTACTTTAATTTCCGAGTCAAGCAGCTAATGTCATTTTACTGACAAGTTTGTATTAAATTTTACTCGAAATCGTATTTCAATAATATTAAATTTCAATTTTCATAATTATAGAACTTTTCATTAATATTAATTTGTTAGGGATGACAGGACCATTACCAATGTGACAGGTGCGACCGGAAACGTGACAGGCGACAGGAAGAGTAGTCTGGTAAATCTTGGAAACTAAAATTTCCTGACATAAAGTAAAGTGAAGTGAAAATGAAGATTTCATGGCCATTTTGGGTAAAAACAATATTTGTTCATAATATGTGTGGAGATAAAATATTGAAAATTTATACCATAGCAAACATAAAAAAATTTAATTGAATAATTATTTAACGCATCTTCGTCATCGTCTTCATCTATCTACTGAATATCACCATTTTAATAATAGATTTTTCTTCCCCTTGAAACA